ACTTTTACTAAAGATCAACTCAAAATTTTACTACTATATAACTATGTTTTTTAAATTAACTAAAAACCCAAACAAACACAACACAAAGACAATCTATCAAAAAAGGTATTTAAATTTGGATAGTGAAATAGTTCTAAGCCTTTAGTTATTCTTCAAACAAAATTATATGATAGTCGATATTGAATTAATAACTAACCTTCTAGAACAAACCTGCAAAGAAATCAAGTATTTATAATTTGTAAGAATACAATACAATATTCTAATAATAATAAAGTAAGTTAGTCTAATGAATGTATGAAATTACCTATTGAAAATAAAATCAGACAGTATAATAATATAGGTTTATTGAAGAAAGATTCTTTTTAACAATAGAATTGAGTTAGAGAATTAACGAATTTTCAATTAATATATTATAAATAAGTTAATAAATACTTATTTGTATTAATTAAACAATACTTTTTAGCTAAATAAAAACTTTTTTTATTTATAAATAAATTTTAATACAATAAATGTAATATATTAAAGAAAAATAACAACAAACTTTTATAAAATTCAAATAATTATTATAATCTTTTAACTAGTTATAATCAGCATGGCAAATATTCTATTTAATTGGCTTAAAGATTACTAGATTATACAATATAAAAAAAAATTTTTAAAGTAATTCTTACTATGAAAAACCACATCATTAATTGGCAACTTGTAGGTTTACATAATAAAATTTTTTAAACTATATTATTGTATTCTTTAACTTTTTGTATATCTTTAGTAAAAAAAGATTAGTATAGATCATTATCACTAAAAACTTTACTTAGAAAGCAAATTCAGGCAAGTAATACTATAATAAATATGTAATGCATAAGTTAATTGATGTTAATTATTATATAAACTTTTTTTTTTTGCTTTAAACTTTTACAATTACAATATAATACTTCACCAACTAATAGTGTTCAGATTTACTTTTTTCAAAGACAGTACTCTTAAGCTTTTTTGATGAAGCAAAGCAAATCAGAATTCAGAGTAATATGATATTCTTAGAAACAAACTAAAACTACAAGAATATCTGTTAATGTGGGTCAACTAAGTATACTTTTATTTGCTTAATTGAAGCTATAACTTCTATTATTTTTTTGCATCACTCTCAATGAATATAACCAAGTTCTTTTAGAAGGTAGCTAGAAAGTAGCATGCTATATAATTTATTATTCCTTTCTGAATATACTACTAGTGATATAGTTAGACACTATCTAAATTTTAAAGAAAACATAGAACTAACTCAGATAACAAATATTTATAATTAAAGTTATATTTTTTAAAACAAATAGAAAAAAATTTAAAAATTATAAAATATTTTAAAGAATTGCATGTCATCTACACAGTAATTTCAAAAGCATTCTACATTCTTGTATTGGGTTTAGATTACAAGGCAGGTCAGTAAAATTGAACTTTAGCAACAAAATTTTAAAATTATAAAATTATTATTATTATTATTATTATTATTTTAACATTAAAGAGACCTCTTTGGCCTGAAAGCTTTTATTAGGATTTGAAACGGTGTTTTATATACAATTACAATGATGGTACATTAAGCTACATGTGTACCTTTTGAGTGCCTAATTTAAATAGCCTGCTCGAAGGTTCTACACTATCTGCCGTACTAGCATCCCAACTAGGGGGGTACTTATTTAAACCATCTGGTTATAACTACCACCGGTTAATCACCTAACCCTAGGTTTACTCACTATTTATATATGAATTTTGTATCATTCTGGCAAAGGATTACTGACTGCCTTAGGACTTACCAACTATTTCTGGCTAATCTATCCTCGAGATAAATCTAACAAAGCAGTATATATCACACACATGTATTCACCTGCATGTTCCTATAACTTCTTCCTAATTAGTATATATTGGCCTATCTTTCTGTATTTGTATCTCACGCCACCTTTTGGGGTGCTGCTGTTCTACAGATATACTTCAAGCACCAACCTTCCTAACTAGGCGCCCATTATGTACTCCTTGCCCTTATTCGGTTTACAACGACTCTGATATTCACATTTGGACCATCTCCTTACCCAGATTCCTTATTGGTCCATCTCTTACTTCCAGCCGGCAACTCGGAAAAGTCAGTTTGCCCAGGCTTTAGGTACCTGAAGAATGCCCTTCTCTTGGTTCATACTTTCAGAGCATATGCTCTTTTCCTCCGGTGTAACAACCCAGCGGTTCAGCTAGTGTATCTTCCACCAGCGGACCTGGTTGCTCGGTTCTTCAATCTCGGGCCCCGGTTCGAATTCAGCCCTCCTGCGATACTGTCAAAGATCACTGCTACCTCCAAATTTGGGACTTGCCAAATAGGTTTTTTGCTATTCTGGTTTCTCAGATTTATTTTGCCAAAGCTTTCTATAACTAGATGGTGTAACCAAGATTACAGATTTCTAGATCCAACCGATAATCACAACAGTAAACTATAGCACAGGCTATTTTTCAAAATTTGTCATCTGTGAGATTTGAACTCTAGACCTGCCACTTGGAGAAAGTGATGACTAGACCACTACACTAAGTTGCCACACTTCTTATAAAATTACTATTTTATTTTATTTATTTATTTTATTTCTTATTATTATTATTTTTATTTCCTAGGCATTGTTAGTGTTGCTTAATCGGCCTTGCCTTGTTGGTGTTATTTCTCACTTTATTATTAATAGCTCATATCCATTTTGGTGTATTAAATTTTAAATTTTTTGTTAGTTGTCCTTTTTTGTTCTTATTATCATTTGTGTTATCCATGTTGATTTGTTCTTTTTTGCTATATTAACTGTTTCTTTGTTGTTTATTTTGTGCTGATTCTAGAGTTGTTAATAGACTAACTTTAGACTATAATAAAATATATAACTCTTCTCTGAATTGCTCTAGAGTAAGTTATATATTTTATTATTGTCTGGAGCACCCTAGCTAATTCTTTGTAAGTTTTTTAGTACTAATTTTTCTTGTGTTTTATAAAGAATTTTAGTTAATATACTTAGGCTATACAAACTTATACTATTAGTTTTTATATTTCAGCCAGGTTGGTAGAGTTTTGAAATTTTAATTTTTTTAATATATTAGCCAATAGAAATTCTCTATTCATAATCATATGAACAGAGCGAGCTTTTATTATAGTAACTAGGCATTTGAGTTGTTTAAAAAAAGTTAGAATAGAGTATATTATATCATATTGTAGTATAATTTTAATGCAATTCTCAAATTTTTATTAATTATATATATATAATTATAGCAAAACAGGTAAAATGATAATGAGAAATTATTTGATGTAGCCATTACATTTTATTTTGTATTATTATATGTTATATTATGCTTCTGTTGAGTGGCAGATTATCAATTAATATACTATAGATAAGTCAATGAATATTACAAATCATAATGAAATCAGATTAAAATAAAACTAGTGATCTTTCTTGCTTATCTTTAAAGCTTATAAAACTCACTTATACTCTTTTATTAATAAAACTAACTCTAAACCCTAACCCTAACACTAACTTTAACCCTAAAAAATGTCCCCCAAAAAATTTTAAATTTTTTTAAAAAAATAGAAAATTTTCATTTTAATCTGATTTTATTTTAATCTGCCACAATATTTGTATTAATTGAACAATACTTTTAGCTAAAAAAAATACTCTTTATTTATAAATAAAATTTAATACAGATACAATAAATATAATATACTAAAGAGAGATAACAATAAACTTTCATAATTACTATATAATCTATAAAATAAATAAACTACTAAATATTCTTAAATATATTATAATCTGTTAATCAATAAATCTTTATATTTCCCATTAATGCATTATATTTAAAAAATACAAAATAACTAATAAAGGTGGTAAATTCAATTAATTGCCAGAAAAACTATAAATAGAAATTAATCTACAATGAGGCTATAGCTAATACTATATACATGAACTTTGGCTGCAACCAAAATTATAATTTCTAGAGATTCAAAATTTCTGCAGTGTATTTAGAGAAAGTAAAATTTATTATTTAGAACTAAAAGAGGTATGTATATATTTAGAAATTTTAATATACTGTATACTTAAAGAGTATACATTTAAAAAGATGTAACTGTATTATGTAATTAGCTTAGCTTCTTATACAATATAATAAATAAATAATAAAAATAAGATAATTAATAGTTTGTCTAACATTTTTATATTTAACCTGTGATAAAATATATAAAATTTGATAATTACTAGATTCTTGTTTCTTAAGCAGATAATTAAATTGAGGTTTAACTTAATTAAACTTGTTAAATTTTTTTTACTAAGAAATTTATTTTAGTAATTAAATTCTTTAAATTGTTTTAGTAGATTAAAAATTATTTTTTATTAATTTTAATTAAATTTTTTTTTTAAAATTTGACTAGAATTACATCTAATACATACTTTAGCTAACCCATCTATCCATCTCTAAATTAGCTAATCAATAACAAAAACCAACCCAAATATAACATCAAACCTTTGTAAAAATTCGTTACTAAGAAAAATAAATATTCGACTATACTGGAGAAAAAAAATAAAAATAGGAAAAACTTATATTCTGTGATCTATAGTCAGTATAACTATGTAACGTTACTTGCTCTAAAGTCAGACTATTTTATTGTTTGGCTTTAGATTATCAGTTAGAATAGGATGATTGCATGCTTACATACACATGCTTACATACGCATGCGATATTTAATCAGCAATACGGGGTAATTATGATGAGAAATAAAAAAACAAAGATTAAAATGTAATACTGTAATGGCGGGAAATTCTATTTTGACCTGGACTAAATCACACGAACTGTTACTTTTAGTTTAAATCCATCCGGTGACTTATATGTGTAACTTAGATCAAAATAGATTTCTTATCTTTATAGTAAAATTCATAAAGTTTATGTACATAAGTGCGAAAAATAAAAGAATATTAGCATTATTGATAATATCGGTAAAGTAAGTAAGTATGGATTCGGGCAGATGTTTGAAAAGTTTGGATAGTACGTACGTACGTTTAACAAGATTTATTTGCTATTAGTTAAAAATTTTTTCATTTGGTACTTAGGGTTATGGCGAATTAACACTGTTCATTTTTTATGCCAAGGTAAAAGCAGGTTTAACAATCTTTTATTTTATAATATTGTACTACCACTACTTTACTTATATTCACGCTTAATTATACGTGTATTCAAATTCTGGTTGTCTAACGTCCTTTGGACGATTAGGTATTAATTGTGCTTTTAGATAATGCATGCAGAAATTATACGTATAATAAATAAGAAAATAAGAGAATCTGTAGTATTTAGCGCCATAGTTGTTATATATCAACAACTAGTTAACCAATTAGTACTTGATGTTCTAAACAAAAATGCTCAACGTCCCCCCAAAAAACCATCATAACTTTAATCCTGAACTTTAAATCTTACTCTGATCGTAGTCTTAAATTTAATGAACATCACTGGCGTAATTTTAAACCATTGAAAAAAAGATAAAATAATGCAGTAAAATGTAAAGAAAAAAGCAATCTTTTTACTTTAAAGTAAATATTACATTAGAAAATGGAAATTATTTTTAAGCATATAGTTGATATTAGATATAGTCACCAAAATTATTTGCATCAATTATAAACATTAACCAATCCGCAATATTATCAAGTATCAATTAAAATTTAAGTTGTACGATCAATTTTTCCCATCGCTTCGATGGCATATGTCACTTTGATATTTTTATAGTATATTACGCACTTCTCTATCACCTTGATCGCTATATAAATTGGATTACTGTGTAATATCAAGTATCCACTTACAGATTTCACTCTGCAGCACTCATTCATATTAATTAAATATCGTCACTAGGAAGATTAACTAACCTTTCGCAGATACAGTACGAGTATCGTAAATGGAAACATGCAAAAATTTTCATTTTATTTGGCGATGCTCATATCAGATATGTTATTACTTCACCGACAATCGTTTCACTGACAGCTTATTTAGCTAACGTCACACAACCAATCAAATGTTAACCCTGTGATGTCGGCTAAATGAAGAACGCCTATTAATCAATAAATCTCCCCCTAGCGTGACCTAACCCTAGCCTAACATAACCCTAACCCCTAACATCCTAATTGGATAAAAATCACGAGGGGGACTTTTGTGGGTGAGCTACCGTATATTAAATGAAGTGAATACATAGCACTATATATATCTGATATAAGGATATTCTGGCGTGGGTGACACTTAGGCTTTTCCCGTTAAGCAGCACTCAGAATCAAATAATATTAGTGCCATTCGATTCGTCCATTGAGACGATTCAAATTATATGAAAATCGCATGGTTCTAATTACTGAACCACGAAGTAAATGAAGGTCAAATTATGGCTCACGTATTATTCACGTGTTCAATGATTTTTCTTTAACTTTCTTCATTCGGACAATATCTGGAGGAATGGTGCAATAATACAATACGAAATACATTGTGTGCCATAATCTCCCAGCCTGAAAAAAACATAACAGTTATTTAAAATTTAAATTTCGAGGATTTTTTTTTTTATCTTTCGATATTAAATCGAATGTTATTTTATTTTGCTACGTAAATTTTGTAAATAAAATACGCTTTTCCTAAAAAATTTTACCGGTATATGTGTGTGCCATAATACCCGACTCACCCTTAACGAGAAAAACATAATTAGTGATATATCAGTAAAATGGTCCAATAAATTTTTTTTTTTAAAAAAAAACCTTAATTTGGTAAGTACTTTGCATTGTATGAAGCTTTAACCTTATTTGGCTAAACTTTTCCTCCGCCAAAAAAATTAAAAATAGATTTTGAGGTGATGTGCGTGATCTGAAACGTATGAGTATGTTGTGGTCGTTCAGGTGGTTGGTGTAATTTTTAATACTAAATATTAATGTTACATATTTATTTGATATACGTATAAATATAATTTAAAAAAACTTTGATATTGTATAAAAAAAAATTTAGACAAATAATATTGAGGGGATTATTCAAAATTATAGTTTTTTTAACCGGTATTGGCAAGTTTAATTACGTAGTAAATTAAAAAACTCGTATTTAATTAATACTTTAAGAACCTCATTAACGTTAAATAACAACCTCACACAAATTTGAAAATTTTTATTTCTAAACTAGGAATAATGTAATATAAACAGTATATATATATATATATATTAATAATGAGTAATACAGTACATAAATATCTTTTTTTAACATATGAACGTAAATATAGAATGTATCAAATATCTGATACAGTATAGTAATATTTTTATCTATCAAACATTCTAAATATTGAAATTCCATAAATTGAATTTCTATTTTAGCAATAAATTGTTGTACCTATCATATTTTTTATTTGACAGTATGGGTGAAATCTGAAAAAAAAAAATTTTTTTTCTATAACGATAAACTTAAAAATTTACATATAAATCTCAATTTATATGCACGCAAATACGTGCCAAGTTCTAAAAATAAACATACCCTTATATTATTTCAATATTTCATTAATTCATTCATTAGCGTTAGAAGTTCCAAGTTTTAAACAATGTTTGATGAGTTATAGATATCTGTCGGTTAACGTGGAGCAGCATCCTCAAAAATTTTATCTGCTTAGAAGATATTATAATACGCATAGCGATAGTGTTAGATATACAACTTTTTTATTATCTATTAGAATAAAGTTGTCACTTTTTAAAACAATATAAAGTACTGTAGGTAGGTATGATAAATATTTAGTTATTTACACTTCACATGTGCATGCAAATAATATTTTAGGTATTTTAAGCCGACGATTTTTACTTACTTCTTATTTTAATTCATGGGAATTCGTTCTTGTAATATTCATCGCTAGACCATATATATATATAAATTAACAAAAACAAAGATATTTATAATGTGTAAAGTATCAATAAAGCGGACGACTATTTTTGTGGTTTTTTTGATTATAATTGCATTATGTAAAAATGTCGTAGTTGCGAATGAAATACTTATAGAAAGAAGTAGGTTTAACGTTTTTTTTAAAAAAAAAAAAATTATTTGTTATTAGATCATTAAAAATCGAAGTTATATTTATACATGCTATTTTATACAGACCCACAGGCACCTCCTCAACCACAAACTTCACAACCAGCAACACCAGCAACACCATCGACACCTGCACCAACGACAAACACCACTCAAAATCCAGCAGCATCAAACACCACACAAAATCCAGCAGCATCAAATTCCACACAAATTCCAGCAGCATCAAACTCAACTCCAGCACAAATTCCAGCTATTGCTTCAAGACCAATAATTATTTTTACAGATCATCCGTTGTATGGAAAAATAGGGTTCAATGTTACTTTTACTTGGAAATATGATGGCCAATTCGATTTTTTAACAAAATCTTTAGTAGCAGTAGCAGTATATAATTCCAGTACAAATAAAAACTGGACAATTGATTCAAACATGTCAACAACTGCTACTAGTGCAACTTGGGTCACTTCAACAATTGTTAATCCTTCTTTAATCGCAGGTCCATATATGTTTGCAATTTATAATGGATCAGATTATTATAGTGGAGGACCTGTTGCACCCCTCGCTCAAATTGCCTTCACTATGTATCAACCTGGTGAAAGTAAGAATTTTTATATTATAATAATTTATTTATTATTTATTTATTTGTCGTATTCATGTTCATGTTCATGTTCACGTTCATTTTCGTGTTCATGTTCACGTTCACGTTCACGTTCATTTTCGTGTTCATGTTCACGTTCATTTTCGTGTTCGTGTTCACGATCGAAATTTATTAATGAAATAATAATAATAATCAATTTATTTTATTTTATTTTATTTTTTCCAGCGCCAACTTATGTAGGACCTTCAATAGGATCCTCAATAAATATTCCAACTTTAATAACATCTGGAATTTCATTGTTAACAATATTATTTACTTACATTCAATATAACGGTCAGTTAATTTTGTAAACTTGATTTTAGTTATAATTGTTTAATTTGGTTATTAAATGGCAATACAATCAGTATTAAAAACTTAGAACTTTCGCATAATATCGTCTAATATTCCAATATTTCAAAAAAATTATTGATAATTATTGGTTAATAGCCATTATAATATACGTAAAATTTAATTAGAAAATTTTGTATCTTTCTATTAGTAATAGGTAAAGAAAAAAAAAAATTTTTTTTTTGTACTAATAAAATCAAAGTATTTTAAATGCTTTTAAATATAAGAATTTTTGTCTAATTTATTTAAACAACATTTAAATTATGTTTCTACAATAAATATATATATTTACTATTAATAAATTTATAACGAATATTTATACCAAATATTTTTTCATATGCTTCAAAATCTCTAATTCTTAATTACATCTCAAATATCTTAATTAAATTCACTCGACAATCGACGTTGGTACGCAAATCCAACTTTATCTTCTACTTTTATGATTTTATAAAATATCCCTTTTAAAGTACCCTCAACTCCAAAACCAAATCCAGGTGATGAACCACTTCGGATATCATCGTCTATATAATAAAAAAGTTGAGTTAACTAGAGTTATCTTGAGTTATATTACGATATAACTTTATATGAACTCGAATTTTATCCATTATATTATTATTATTAACGAAAAAGAAAGAAAAAAAAAAAAACTAACCAGAAAGGCGATCCAAAGAATCCATTAATTCCAATAAAGATTCTTTTGGAATAGTTAAATAAATAAATTCAATTTCATTACAAATTAAAACCTTTGAATTTGAATTAGGAGAATCCAAAGTTTCGTCATTATTTCTATTACTATTTATTATATTGATTGGATAAGATACGCTTCCTGGAGTTTGTGGCATATCTTCCTGATCAGATAAAGAATAATGAGATATATTATCATCATTATAATCTTGTATATTACCAATATAATCATTATATTCCAAATAAATATCATCAATTCTATTCTCATTAAAATCCAAATAAATATCATCATTTCCATTCTCATCTATATTTTCATCATCTATATTTTCATCATTTATATTGCCATTTATAAAATTAAAATTTTTCGAAACATTTTCATCTAAATCTTTTTCATTAATAGCCGAATTTTCAGGATCATAAGTTAATTCACCACAAGAATGAGTATGAATATTTGGTAATTGATAAATATCTTCAGTTAATTTATCAATATAAGGAGGAAATAATCTATAACCTAACATCATTCCTTTATCAAATTTTGCTTCTTTAATAATTTTATAATCTTCTTGAGGTTTTAAAAATATAGGAATATAACCTTTTGTTTTCCATCCTGAAGGAGATTTTAAATCTTTTTTCATTAAAAAATCTATATGAATTGTACAATTAGCCTCTCCTGTATTTGTTAATGAAGATAAATTAATAGTTGTATCTGATGTAATAGTAGTAGTAGTTATAGTAGTAGTAGTAGTTAAATTAGAATTTGAAAAAAATAATGAATCATCGGGTAAATCTTGTTCGGAAGCTGGTGGGGTTGGAATATCGGTTATTTGATGAAATGTAAATGTACTAATATTTGAAAATGATTCTAATTTTAACGTAAAGTAAAGTGATCTTTGAGAGAATTCCATTCGAATCTAATTGTTTATTTTTAAAAAAATAAATAACGATAAATAAATTAAATAAGTATATAATATACTGTATATAAATATATATAAATATATATATGTGTATAATATCTATTACATATCAGATATTATATATAATATTCTATATATTATATATAATATTCTATATATTATATATATATTGTATATTATATATTATACGTATGTATAGACGTATCAGTCACATGTAAACTAGTTTTTTTTCTCACCTCCAACTTTATATCAGAATTAAATCGATGTGAAAGATCATCATTTATTGCCACAGGGATAAGTTCAAGCCATCGTTTACAAGTTCTTCTAATTTTCCATAAATATTTATAACTATAAAAAAAAGAAAATTGACACTAGCATTAGTATGTTAAAATTTTCCGAAATGAATTCATTTAGTGCATTATTTATATAAAAAATAAAAAATTATTATTTACTTATTTTGATTGCGTATACTCTTAAATACTTTTAATAATAATTCGTTTGGTAAATTTGAAATCATCATTTTTATTATTATTATTATTATTTTTTAACGTTAAATGTTAATTAAATAATTCTAATTTTTTTTTTTGAAAAAAATTTTGACACTTTAGAAAAATTATTTATAATGAATTTTTTTTTTTTTTTTTTTTTAAAGTTCTATAGAAATTGAAAATAAAAAATTCAAAAAGGGGAATTTATGATAATAAATATTATATTCGTTAAAATGGTAAAATCAAATGGATTTATAATTTTACGTTTACACGAACCTTGATAAGAAACAATTACACAGACCTCATGATTTGCATCGAGTTTAAATATCATATATATAATATCATATGACTAAAAAAAAATTGGCCGGGAATACAAAGACTAAACTTAATCATACGCATGTACAGTTAGGTTTATGCACAAAGACTTAAAAAACAGATCATCCACTATTGATAAAATTTCTTACCCAATAATTATTTTTAAAAATTGAACCAGTTCTTGTAATTCTTGTAGAAAATTGTAATTTATTTAAAGGGAAGAATTTTTCGGACACCAATGACATTATTTCATAAGTCGATAACTGAAAAATTTCAACGACAAAGTGAGTAAGCACATGCTTTTATTGTGTGGCCTTCTGCACCATAAATATAGTTAACACTCAAGATATATGCTGACTTTGTACAGCTTATGTACTGTAGAATGGCAATGCTAGCGAAGCCGATGCATAAATGTTTATTGTAGATCATAAGAAATTCAGAAAGGCGGCACCATGTGGTAATTCTTGCACAACATTATAACGAGCCTGTGAAATCTTGTAAAAACAATGACAAAATTTTTGTAGCATTTAATTTATGCATATGTCTTCTACAAATAATCTTACTTGTAGTATGTATATAGTAAATATCTTCTACGTTTATTCTATAAAATCTGTCTAAAAAATCCGCCAATTGGATTCCTTCTTCATTGTAAATAAAGTGATGTCATCTTTCGAATCAAAATCCTACATCTTTGAATTGTTGAATCTTGAATTTTTACATCTTAAAAGTTTTCATATTAAAGTTACGTCTTAAAAGTTGTGTACCTTTAAGGTTATTTCTCAAAGTTACATCTTATATTAAAGTTGTAGCCTAATTTTTCAAAAAATTTAAAAATTTAAAAAATTTTAAAAAATTTATACGTAAAAACAATATTACTAAAAATAGAAAAAGATTAACATTAATGATATTTATTAGTGTGACGTAATATATTAAATATTTATTAAGATAGATAACGATATTATTTTTATCAAATCACAAAATGTTTGGTTAATTTTAAAATATCTTTTTTGATATATTGTACTCAGATGAAAATCCCTTATCCATAAATAAAACATGCTGTGATTCGTATTCATCAAAAATAAGGATTTTTAACCTTGTACAGATCTTGTATGGTTAAAAAAAAGTTCATGCATTAGATTATTTCCTGTCCAGACCTGTCCAAGCAAATTCAAGCAAGTCCAAGCAAAAGACGGAGTTTTCTAGATCCGAATAATTTATTCTTTTATTTTTTAAAAAAAAAGAGTTTAAACGTTGATGTTAATAATCGGTTAGAGATGGTCTTTTATCATAATAGAAATAATTGTAATTATATGAATAGCTCTTGATTATCAATTGTTCAAATATTTATTCATTTGATTATCGTCAATAACATGTGATAAAAATAATATACCATCTATACTTGGTTATATAGTTATAACGTATTCTTCAAAAGATAAGCATTTAATATACAAGCAAAGCAACTAGGGTTTAATTAATTTAATTTGATTTACACGTTAGTCATTTGAATTCAACGATAATTTCGTCGATAATTTCGTAGGTGGCTATAAGTAAATTTTAGTTATATTACTATAAAAGTTGCTGTTTAAAAAATTAATGATTGTTTTTGGTATACATATTTGCCGAAAATATTTTGAAAATATTGACAATTCAATAATACCGAAATACATTCGGCTACAATAGTTCGTACGTCATGGATAACTTGACTTCCAATGATTTAAGCTCATGTCATATTACGATATCTCATGTCATGCTTATAACGTCAATTAATAAAAGTTTATGGTAATTTTGATCACAAAGATAGCCAGATACATGATTCTCATAAAAGAAAAGCCATATTGCAAAATTAATTACTATACGAACGTTATTTTGATTGTTACAATCAAATCTTTATTTTCAGAACGTTATTTTCATACTGCAATTCCTTATAATATAATACTAATGAACACTAGTTCGTTGATAGAGTTCCAATCCGGTTAGCGTTTATCCGGATAATTATCAGGTATTCGGACCTGAATTTCATTTATTATCCATTTAGATATCCCGAATAATTATCTGAATACCTGTCAGTTATCTGGGTATCAATAGTAAACGGGATATCCAAATAAATCAGATACAGTCTACCCTCGTTTATATCAACCATTTGAATTGGTTTAAATTCATGTTGATAGTATTATTAACAAGGGATTATACTGTATTAAAGGTTTATATATATGAGGGAGTTTTAATACATAAAAAAATTCATCTTATGGTTTAGGTTGATATTAACGAGGGTAGACTGTATTGGCGAATTTTATCCGGGATTGGAACTCTACTCGTTGATTTTCTAAGGAATTAAAAATTTTAGCATAAAAATTTTGCAAATTGATACGTACTGTACGTACAGTACATACGTAGTCATTTGATAATTACTAAAAAAAGAAATGTCAAGCATTCCCCTTAAAAAGGATTATAGAGGATTTTTAGTTACAGCTGTTTTCAAAAAAGGTATGAACGGTCGCAGATCATCATGTCATTGACGTACATTTTTGAAAACGGCTGTAAGCGTATAAAACTTCCAAATATTTACATTAGGAGCATATTGGTATCGGTATTTACATAATGTAGCATATGGAAATGTCCAGAAATTTCGTATGTACGTACGTACGGTTTCGGAAATGCTAAGCTTTTTAAGGAATAATTAAGGAATAAATTTAGAGATTTATTTGACAAAATAAGAAGTGCACCCCGAGAATTTCATTGACAACATTATACATATTATCGTTATGTTAACTCTTCTCTTACTTTTTTTGATATATCAAATTAACAGCCTTACCTTTTGAATAACAACATATATTTCCTTTTTCTCTTAAAAGATAATCTATTTAAAAATCTTATCAAATTACGATTATTGTGTAACTTTATACAAATTTATATTTATGTGAAAATTCATACTATACCATTTTTGTAAATAAAGAAACAATTTGCAACAACTAAATGGCGTATTTTAAACATAACAATCTGTCTTTTTGATACGTAACACACGTAAATATTAATCAAGTAATTCGGTAATTTGTGAAATGTAGTATGATTTTCTTTGTTACAAATATCAGTATACAGATGTATATCCATAGATACACTCTAGATTTCGTAATCACGAAAAGAATTATCTACAATATGAAGTTTTTTTATCATAGCAATTTAATCCATTTATATACAATCTCTTTTATTGTTAATAACATAAAATAATGATTTAATTCACACCAATGATGCTGTCTTTTAGAATCTTTCTGTGTCGAAATCTGAATAAATTTAATTGACATTGGTCTAAAGGTACGTCATGAACGAGTTCAGCCTAATAATATTTGAGGCAATATTTAATTTTTATATTTAAATTAATTTTAAATATAGTTGAATGAATGAAACACTTACCGATGGAATAATCCCAGTTTCTTGACTGTTTGTCGTATTGACTACGTCGATAAACTCTTTGGAGTTTACATCCATGTTATCTGATGATGCATTAATTTGCATTATCTGTCTATCTTGATTATATCTCGAACTAAAACTAGGTTGACTCAATTCGAAATTTGAGAATTCTTGAAAAAAAAAGGTATACAACTAATTAATTACTACAGGTATAAAATATTTTAAATATATATGTTTTAAAAATGTTTACCTATCTTGCGACCAAGAAACTTTGCTCGAGATTCAACACGTATTCGAACAATTTTACGCTTAACAAAAAAATTTGCGAGATCTCTCGATGCATCATGAACATCAGAGGACTGAGAATCCGAGAAATATTCATCAGAGGAATGAGTATCAAAGGATTCAGTTGGTGAATGATGATTGAAATTAATTGATTCTGAAAAATTTTGAAAGCTTTCTTGATCACTACAGTTATAAAAAAATAAATCTTTAGGATAAGTTTATCAGAATAAAATCTTTAATATAAATTAAGAATAAAATGAAATATACGTACATATCGAATTTCTCTTCATATTCAAAAGATACGTCAATTAAGATCCAAACCATAAATATTAGAATGATGATAATTTCGTACCATCCAATTTTTGAAATGGTAAAGTTGAATGTTGTTTGAAAATGAAAACCACTATATCGCGTAATAACTACAGAAATGTAACCTCCAGTATAAAATAATAAACAAGAAATCAACTTTATTATCAAGTGTCGATCGAAAATATAATTTTCATCGAAACCAGAAATAATAAAAGTTAAAAGAAATAAAATTCCAAGTATGAAATTTATGACTAATAATTGTGAGTTACTATCAGAAGCGATATAAGCTTTAACGACAAAGTTTGAAATCCATACTACAATCATTGATAATACACCATTAACAAGTAAAATAAAGTTCTTGGTGAATAACTTTAACATTTTCTCAAAGTTATTTTGTTTTTCTCAAAGTTTTTTGTTTTTGAACAAAGTTTTTTCTTTTCTCAAGTTTTTCTAATTAAATTGAAAATTATTACGTACATCTATAATTTATAAATGCGTTAACTAACCTAAACATATTATATTCATTATTGATGATACGCGTCATAATGAGATATAAAAAATGATCTATCTCTATCATTATCTGTTTATCATGCGAGAAAAACGAGAAAATTTTTAACGAATCATATATAATGTAAATATATAACTTTTTGATTGTTTGTTATGTTAATTTTGACGTTTAATCTCAGATTATGTCAGGAAGTTATGTAAAGTTATACGTAATGTCGGATTTTTCATACAAATATGCCGATACGTATAAAAATACATGCAACTATTTAGCTTGTTCCTTATTTGCCTGATCAATTTAATCTTTTTAGCCACAGTATCTACTTACGTACGTATATCTGATATGTACATATCAATCAGGTATTATGTACGTACGTACGTATGTATGTATGTATGTATGTATGTATGTATTTGGTAGTACAGTACATACATACATACCAGATACTCGATACTAAATACTTGATATGTACTGTACGTAAGTAGCATTGAAAAATTCTACGTAACTGTTAAAAATTGATAATGCTATTATCAATATTACAGTATTGGAATGAAAGCTTTAACATTAAGGATTTTTTAATAATTCCCAATATAGATAATTTTTATGTTTTCCCGGTGCGGTGCTGGATCAATTTTATCAAAAACGATCGTGTAAGTATTATTGGACTTCTGCCTTATGATCAAAATTTGTTAAACTTTAAACTTTTTGTGCATGAAACTTATTGTTACACACTATCAATATTCATATTAGTATTGAGTGTACTCCGAAATAATATTGTAGCCCTTTTCCATTTCAATACGCCGTGATACTTACAAAGTTAAAATGATTTAATTATCATATAAATAAGCATCGGTAATTCGCGCGGATACAATAAATACTCTCTTCTTTTTTTTTTTTAATAAAAAAAAAAAGAAGAAAACCATATATCATCTGTTCTTTCTCAATAAATCGAAACGTTTGTAAACGATTAAAAACATGATTTCTTTAACGCGCTCCAAACTTGGAGGAGCTATATTCCTTATTATTGGAATATTAGCATTATGTCATTTAGTTACAGCTCGTCGGCTTTTTGATCAACCGGAAATCATTATTGATAATTTTAAATGGTCAAGCGATGATATTTCTGAAATAACTGAACATATTTTCGATAATTTGGATCAAGTTCAACCTAAATATGATAATAAATGGGCAAAAGTATTAACTCATAATGCTTTTCCTGATTATAAAATTAAATTGAAAGAACCTCAAATGTGTGATCCCACCGTTCAACAGGTTTGATGATTTACTATAAATGATTTTTTTTTAAAAAAACTTTATGAAAAAACTCAATAAAATATTTGAACGCTAGTATTCTGGATATCTTGATGCTGGTAACAAGAAGCACTTCTTCTTTTGGTTTTTTGAATCAAGAGGCAATCCTTTGAACGATCCGATTGTTCTTTGGGTATGTAATAATTATATTAACTTATAATATATCATTATTAAATCTTTAACCTTATTTAATATTTCATATTTCTTGATTTAAAAATAGCTTAACGGTGGCCCAGGGTATGATAATCTTCAATGATTTATTAAAGATATTACCGTACTGCGCAGACTAAAGTATCACAATAAAAAAAAAAGTATATTATGTATATTGCATATCACATGTATATATGATCTATGCTGTGTCACACTGGGTATTTTAGTCTTCATGGTACGGTAGCTCGTCTATATCATGATATCAGATATTAACATTAACGTAAATTATATTCAATAATAATATAATTAGATGTTCTTCTTTAACTGGTTTATACTTTGAACTTGGTCCTTGCGCTGTTAACGAAGAAGGAACTGATACTATCTTTAATCCTCATTCTTGGAATAACAATGCTAGTGTTATTTTCTTGGATCAAGTATGTAAAAAATTTTTCTTAATATTACGCATTTTGTATCTTGTATATCTTGTATATACTATTATTCTCTAATAACTATCTCTTTGTAGCCAATTAATGTTGGATATTCTTATGGAAATGGTGTATCTAATTCTTTGGCTGCTGCTACTGATGTATACGCGTTTTTACAAATCTTTTTCCAAGAATTTAATCAATATGCTAATTTGGATTTCCATATTGCTGGTGAATCGTACGTATTGTTGATATTTTGTTAATAATAATAATATTATTATTATTAATATTGTTAATCTTTGTTAATCTTTGCTAATATTATAAATAGGTATGCCGGACATTACATACCCGCCATAGCAGCAGAAATCAATAATAATAACAAAGGAACTTCATCTTGGATTCTCGCTAATAAACCAAAGAACCTTAAACAAATCAATCTTGAATCCGTCTTGATTGGAAATGGTCTAGTAGATCCTTTAGTCCAATACAAATATTATGCTGATATGGGCTGTAACTCTTCTTATGGTCCTGTATTAGAAGAATCCACATGTCAACAAATGAGAGATGCTTACCCTCAATGTGCTTCAATGATTAAACGATGTTATGATTCATCAAATGCTTTCGCTTGCCTACCTGCTTCCATGTATTGTAATAGAGAAATGATTCAACCTTTTCAACAAACTGGTTTAAATGTTTATGATATAAGAAAAAAATGTGAAGGTGGTGGTTTATGCTATCCAATTTTAAAAGCTATTGAGAAATTTTCTAATCGTAAAGATGTTAAGAATGAATTGGGTGTTGATTCTTCGGTTGAATATCAAAGTTGTAACATGGAAATTAATTTCAAATTCCAAATTGCTGGTGATTGGTAAGTAATTCTTTAAATTAAATTTTATGATTTAAAGATGTCTTGAATATATTTAAAAATGTCTTATATTATACATACTTAAAATATATTTTATAATAATCTAGGATGCGTCCCTACCATTTACTGATCCCACCGCTCTTGGAAAGCAATATCAGAGTGTTGGTATATGCAGGTAATTTATTTATGACCTAACTAAATTTTTGAGTAAACTTTTTGTTTAATTTATCCTATCATAATTAAAAAATTATTATTATTATTATTATTATTATTATTATTATTATTTTAAAGGTGACGCTGATTTTATTTGCAATTGGTTTGGTAAGCATTTATTATTAAATTTATCTTATATTATTTTATATAATTTTATATTACATATTTTTCTAATAAAAACAAATTGTATATATTTTAACCGATTATTACAATCAGGTAATGACGCATGGGTAAAAGAACTCGAATGGAGTGGTAAGAAAGATTTTAACGATGCCAAAGTTACTAGTTGGAAAACATTAGATGGTGAGGATGCTGGTGAAGTTAGAACCTTTGGAAGATTCACATTCTTGAGAATTTATGAAGCTGGTCATATGGTACCTTATGATCAACCACGTGCAAGTTTAGATTTCTTTAATAGATGGTTGTCCAAAGGTGATTTGTAAATGAAAGATGAAGTTTTTTTTTTTAAATACTCATTTTACTCGATTTATTTGATGCTTCAGAGAAATAGATAAAATCTTGTGGGACTTTATAAGGTTTATGGTAGTTTAAGATCTGGTCGATTGATCGATCGATCGATCGATAGCTTTTATATAATTTATTTATTATCAAGCATGTTGTTCTCAATCAATTTAAGAATATAATAACTTTTTAAACTTGATGTAAAAATTGATGTTCTATATTATAATAAATACATGGTACTGTATTTCTGATATTCAAGTTTTAAAAATACATGTCTCATAAGGAATTGCTCAATGGTCATATACATTAACTTAAAAAAAAAAAGTTATCTATTTCTGTCCAAATACTACATGAATATTACAGTAAGTTTTGTATATATTAAATTCTTCTACAAATCTTTCAACACATTCATTATATTGTTCATGAGTTAAACCCCAAGCAGGTCTTAAAACTGGGCACATCGCTTTCGCTAACATTACAAAATCGTCAGCCATAATTTTACCAATACGATCTCCCCAAGTACCAACTGGAATCATTTTTGATTTATGTTCAATTTTTTTCAGTATAGTGGATTTATATATTTCTTCTAATTGTGTTGCTATTGTTAAATCAATATTTTTCGTTCTCATTACTGTGATCCCTGATTGTTAAAAAAACGTCTTAGCAATTAAAATTTGCTGGTATATAATTAAAGATCTCGAAAAATTTAAACAAAATAATAAAACTTACATGCTTCACTCATTCTATAAGTTACTGGACCTCTATTTAGTGCTGGAATTTCAAATTCCGTACCCTATATTCATAAATAAATAAATAAGTTTCGGTTATTAAAGCACTAAAAACATATATTGTAAATGGAAACGGAATTTACAATTTACAATTTACAGTTTAAGTGGATTTTATATTTTCTAACCAAACTAGGTATAGGTATGTCAAGATTGCAAGGTATAATTTAACTAAAAATCCACCTAAATTCCGTTCGCACTTATGACATATAATATATATAATATATAAGAATTTCAACAAACCTCAATATAACCACCAGGTTTAAGTACTCTAATCAATTCTTTCCATATTCTATTTTCCCAATCATGTAATGTGAACGAAGTTACCATATTTCTTATTACTATAAAATCAAATGATTCATCAGCAAAAGGTAAATCTTCTAAAACATCCGCTTCTTCAAAGTCTACATTTCTTGGTTTAATTTCTTTTGGAAACATTGGATTTATATCAATTCCTATAAAATGTGAATTTGGATAATCATATGCCATTTCTAAGGTAAATGTTCCTGGTCCACATCTATTAAAAATTTGATAATGAAAATTTTTTATTTTTAAATTCAACATGATATTAACGATAAATTTTTAAAATTTTAAAATTCTTAATTACCCAACATCTAAAACCTTTGCTCCACTCTTTAATTTATTATTAACAGGTGCGCAATAAT